CGATCCGAGAAGTTAACGCTAATCGTTACGTAGTTACAACGCCAATTAGTATTAGCAGTTGTGTTAATAATTGCTCTTTGCTCTTAATTACAAGGTAAAAAAAGCTGAAGAAGGTATTAGTACCTATCCATGGTACATATCGAATCGACAGATTTAAAATAGTAGACGTTGCGTTGCCAGTTTCCGACAGGAAGATTTTGTTCGAGTATTCGTTTATCGAACGAGAAATCAGAGGAAGCCTAATCTCGAACATCTCCTGAACATCTCAGAATATGGGAAACTGCTGAAACCTATCAATCAATGTATAAAAAATGTTTGAATACAGCCTGGATCTCTATAATTTTATGGTTCAGATATAATCTACGTACACTCAGAATTATATAATTAGAATCAATTATGAAAGGCTAAAAATAAAAGGAGGAAAACGCAAGCCAATTGATTGCTGTTGCACATTAATGCACCCAAGACCAATGCACTTTTATACTGATTATACTGAACCGGAATCGATTTAACACTAAGAGATAGCGTTGATTTGTCGCCTTTCTACCCACACAGTCCAGTCCTAATCCATTGATATAATTATTTATTTGCCCGACGAGGAAAGGAGACGATTTTAACGTATTTCGTGTCTTCTTGTGTCCCAGAACAAAAAGTAACTTGTAAATTTTATAGAACTACAGGTAGCTACAGATTTTTCCAAGAGCTCTTGTGCTCTATACTCTGATAGTCCGTATTTCTTTTTTGGTATCGATCAGATTTTGTATACTGAGTGGCCCAATGAAAACGAAACAGAACTCGCAAGGAAATAGTTTTTGGAAAAAACGCAAAACACGTCGATTTTTGTTGGAAGGAGAACATATTTTACTTTAATATTGACACCCCTGCTGCCAACCCCCTAAGCAGGGTTGCTCACCCATTCAATAATTTTAAATGATATGTTGGGTCGAATGACATTATTGGAAAGGGCTCTGAATTTCCTACACGCCTATGGTTTAGTTTTCAAATTCTAGCGACTATTTTGGAAGATACACCTGACCAAGCACTTCTTCTCGGGCTTAGGTCAATACATCAAACTATGTAACATAAGTACGTCTGGTTCATTAAAATAAAATCGTATCAGTATTTCTATTTTACCATCAGTACCTAAAAACCGAGCTAAAACCCAATCTCATGGTAGGTATATGTTCTTAAGAATTGTTTTGTGTAGCCAATATTTCTTATAAACGTGTTCATTCACGTCAAAGCTTGAATATGCATTTGAATTATTTGTGATTTGACACCCTGTATTCTACAAACTACTCGCTTAAATTTGAAAAATAAACCATAGACGTGTAGGAAATTAAGAGCCCTTTCCAATTATGTATTACTCGACTCAATGTTCAATTTAAAATTATTGAAGGGGTGGCAACACTGCTTAGGGAGTTGGCAGCAGAGGTGTCAATATTGAAATAAGAGATGTCCCCCTCCCAACCAAAATGACGTGTGTTTGCGTTTTTTCCAGAAACTATTTCTTTACGAGTTATTCAGCTTGTTTCGTTTTCGTTGGGCCACCCTGTATAAGGCTCTTTGAACATTTTTTAACCAATCACACCTTCTCCCTCTCTCCCTCCCTTCCGAATAATTGTTTGCTGGTTTAATGTGCATATAATACAAACATTTTATTTTTGTATGCACATGGTGCTCCATCAGGTGG